TCCATTTTCAGTTGTCCCCCTCCTACAGCGCTGCCATTGGCAGTATCACTCCACCCCCTGTTAACAAAAGGTGTTAATTAGGTGTCAACGATAGCCATGTGATGTGAGTATCAGTCACATGGAGGCAGGACTCAAAAGCCTGAATTTTGCCTGAAACTCTCAGACTGAAGAAGTCTCTTGGAGAAGAGACGCAACGTTTCATTAAAGAAGAACCCGTCCAGAGGACCTATACTATTTTTTTCTTTTTGACAACCATGACTGTTCCTCATGATGTTTTTAACTCTTACCATTTTCAGAGTGTGTGGCAAAAACCGGCATGATTTTACTTGTTGGAGAAGTGACTTCTAAAGCTATAGTGGATCTTCAGTCTGTGGTTCGAAATACCATCAAGAAGATAGGCTATGATGATTCATCAAAAGGTACTGCATGAAGAGAAAAAGTCTGCTTCTTCAGGCTTTCAGGTTTCTAATAAACTATAGGAGTCAGGGTTTGTTGCTAATTTAATTTTTTTCCACTGTCATCTGCAGGGTTTGACTACAAGACCTGCAATGTGCTGGTAGCTCTTGAGCCACAGTGTATGGAGATCTCAGATTGTGTTTTTGAGGGCCGGGAACAGGAGGACATCGGTGCCGGGGACCAGGTTCAGTACTTGACCTTATGCAAATATGTTTCTCAATTGCTTATTTTAATGCAGTAAGTTGTATTGTCATGTAAAGATCCAACTGAACAAACCAAGTCTGATAAATAAAAAGTTGCAGAAAACAACACTTGTAAAACTTTGGAAAATACCAAGGACAGAATTAAATTACATAAAAACAACAGCAGAACTTAAGGTGTTTAGTAATGTGCCTAATCCTAATCTATTGTTCCATAGTTTCTAAACAGCACTTTTGCTCTCAGACTGTAGGTTTACTTGTGGTTTCTAAAAGTAGAATGGGAGGCAGAGCTTTATTTATCAAGCTCCTCTCTTGTGGAACCAACTGAGGCTGACACTCTGTCAATGTTTTAGACCAGGCTGAAGAATTTCCTTTTTGGTAAATCCTGTAGAAAAGGTTGTCTTTTACAGAGCCCGCAAGGGGATATGGGAGATTATTTTTCTTTTGTGTTCCCACGCAATAGTTGTTAAACACTGAAGTGCTGCTGGTTTATTAACAAACTCACATGTTCACCATTAGTGAGTTAGCTACTGCTTTAATTCACCTTCACAATGAATATATCACACAGACACACATGGAAGTGTGTCATATGTTGATATTTTAACACAGTGCAGCCACGCAACATCAATGTCAATTTCACGAACTTGTGGCGACACATCCTGTTAGGTTATGGTTAGGGTAACCGGATATTTCAAAATAAAAGTCTGATTTAATTCAGTTCATATTCAAAACAAACTTTTGTGTGGGAATGCAAAACAATATTGTGAGGGAACACTAAAGTATTGCGAGGGAACGCAAAAGAAAAAATATCCCCCATGTCTCCTCGCAGGCTCCTTAGTCTTTAGCCTCTTAAGCCCCGAGGGGTTTTCTTGAAGTTTTTTCTCAAAATCCCATGCTGAAATATAATTGAATGTATCTCAGCATTTACAAAATCTACTTAAATAATCTTGGTATCAAAATAAAGCTGAAATTCGGGAAATTTTATCATAAGTGTGAGTATTAAAACAGCTGCTGTGGTTTTAGAGATTTTGGGCATGGAACATAATTTTATTTATTTTTTCACTCTTGCCTGAATAATGTTTTCATTAGACAGTATATAACCCATTTAAAACCATAATGAATCAGGCTAAAACTCTTGGAAACCATAAATCAACTTGTGGACATCACCTGTGCAAAGATTCATGCTGCTAAAATGAACTGGAGCCAAGTTACAGAGGTTTTAATAAAGAAATAATTTAGTGTTTTATCATTCTGCACAGGACAGACCATGATAGTAACATTAATAAATGATAAGAAATATTAAGATTTTACTTACAAAAGTTATTTAGTTTTTCTTACCTGCCTTCAAAGACTTGTTATTGAATGTTTGTTCTTTGGAGAAATTATCCAAACATTTATTTTGTCACCATATTTAAATAAAATAATGAGTATTTGACTTCAGTTTGGACCACATTCACTCAAAATCATGTGGAAAAAAGGCTTTCAACACACTTTACAACATATTTAAGTTTCTACTTTGACTTGCTGTAAAAAAATAACGTCCAAAATTTTTCCTTTATAGATTTGCTTGAATGTATTTACAGATTTGCAATGAGGCCATTTTGTACAGTTTGTTTACTTTCTGATTCAACTGCCTGACATTTGAACTGTGTTTGGTGGATTTAAATATAGTTCCCATGAGCTTTTAGCCAAGATTCTTAGCTTTCTTTTCATACCAAATACACTACATCTTCCTGAAATTTCACCCAAAAGCCAAATATCCCTAACTTTTAGTGAGCAGTGAATGAAGAGTGCCCAAACATTTTCCCCAAAATAAAAATCTGTCTGAGAGCTGTGGGCTAAAATGCAATAATAATTCATGAAATACAAATGTTTCTTAAGTACAGTCCTTTTATTTTTAATGATTAAGCTGGCAGTCAGTGTGGTGGCCCACATTTGTGACTGTAATACAGCCACTTATGGAGTCACTGGGCCAATGATTGTAATGACCTTAGGTGGAAATGATGTGTTTCTACATAGGACCACAGAAACAACCGACGTCCAAAAATGAAATAAAAGTAACAACTTTCTACTTCTTGCCTTTTTTAAAAATGTAAGGAGTACAGATAATTGTGTGAACATGTAGAAGTAGAAGTAAAAAGAAGGCTGAACAATAATTACTCAAGTAAAGTACAGATACCCAAAAATTATACTTAGGTACAGTAACAAAGTATTTGTACTTAGTTTCTTTACAACTCTGCTTTCTGATGATATTCATATATTCATGAATTTCCAGTTATGCATTACTGAGCAGCATTGTGTTGAAATTTGGGTCAGTTTTTGGAGGTGTCTGTCATTAACATGCTTTAAAAATGTCCTGAATGCAGAAAATTCAACACTGAACTAAATGTAGTTTCAGTCCATATTTACCAAAAGAGTTCCCCAGTGTTACAATCATTAATTTAAAATTGATTTAAAATCTACATTTCTTTTCAATGAAGAAAAAAAAAACAACTGTTGGAAAACCATTTCAGGTGACTGCCTCTGGAAGCTCATCAAGAGAATACCAAGAGAGTGTGAAGTAAAAGGGTTTTACTTTGAAAAACCTAGAATATAAAACATATTTTCAGTTGTCTCACAGTTTTTTGTTAAGTATATAATTCCACGTGTTAAGTCATAGTTTTGATGCCTTCAGTGTGAATCTAAAATTTTCATAGTCATGAAAATAAAGAAAACTCTTTAAATGAGAAGGTGTGTCCAAACTGGTCTGTACTGTATATTTAAATATATATTTTATATGGTTATTGTATTTTATTGTATGTTGTTATATTGTTACTCCAGGATATGTGAGGCATCCTGATTTCGGTGTGCTCTTTCTTCAAACCCAATGAATTCTC